TTTCCGCAGCCTCTCCATTTTTTAATTATATTATATATATATATTAAATAAAATAAATAACATTTACCCTCATTCACCGACAAATTTATTGTTTATGTATTTATTATTATTTTTTATTTCTCCCTTGCAACTTGCAATTTCGATACCGACGTTTGGATTTTAATTTTACGGATAAATGACAAATTTGGGTTCCCCACCAATATTTTTATAAATTTTGTTATTGGTTTTTATTCTTGTAGGTTAATAAATAAATATATAGATTAATTCAGTACCTCGGAATTAAAGGAAAAACAGAACCAGACAAAAAGAACAAAAATAAAAACCAATTACACTGCAGTTTACTGTCTATTTTATTATATAAATATATTTTTTAATATGTTTCTCTAGTACGGTGCAGGTCCTGTAAACTCTTAAAATATTTTGTTTTTCTTTTTTTTTTTTTTTTAATTAAAAGTGTGCGTCTAACTTTGGCATCTTCGTACCAACAATTAAAATTAAATACTTTAGCGTACAATTTTGATTCTTCAAATTCATTATTATTTAAATTTAATTTCTTATTTTATAAATCCAAGTAAAATTGAACTACAACAAAAATACATCAAAATTTTATTATAATAAAAATAAATATTAAATAAAACATATATGGATTTCTAATAAACACGTTTTAAAATCATGAATCTAATCCGCTCTACATGACCAGTAAAGTGAACAATATCTACCGGTTATGGTTTTTTTATTAAAAATAATAATTTATTTGCGGAATTGGTGCTGTCGCCACAAACAATTTCTCTTCAGCGGATTCACATGCATTTCATCGTGCAAGGAACAACTCATGCTAGGATTTCTCAATTTTATAAATAAAATTAAAATGTCAACATTGCCCTTCCTAAGATTCTTCAATCCCTTTTCAATAACAAAATGTCAATGTTGCCCCTTGCTTTGTTTATTTAATTATTTTTGCAATTAAAAAATATAAAGAGATCTTAAACGTTTAATTACTTTATTTGTGCTCTAATTCACTCTATTATTTTCTTTTGAAAGCTTCATTCACACTCACTTATTTTATATCACAAAAATATTCATTATTATTTCAAATGCTTGAAATGCTTGAAATAAAAAATTGCTATCATAAATATTGTTTTCTTTAAAATTCAATAAAGAAACAAAAAAGTAGGACCCATGTGAAATAAATGGTCATTGCATGTGAAGGTATTTAATAATTTAATAAATTAATAAATACTAAAATACCAAATTGATTTTATTTTAATCCATCAACTTTTCAAATATTTAAATTCGAAGTTTTAAAATAATATTTTAATCTTGAATGAACGGTGGAAGTAAAAAATAAATTAAAAAGAGATACATAAATGAATCAATACTACATTCGAATGAGAGAAATTTTGATGATAGATAGTTTAAAAAAATTTTAAATAATTGAAAGTCATTAGGTGCACACTTTTCTTTTGGTGGCTTGAGTAGAAACTTTATAGTAAAACATTCTTTACTTAAAGCAATTTTATATTGAGTGACCTCCTAAAATATTTTGTTAATGAATGTGAGTGATCATGTCGCATGAAACGTCAAACCCACAAAGTATATATATGTGTGGCCATGTGGGGTGAGATGTGGATTGTTGCCAAGTGTGAATAGAAGAAGGGGTTAAGATAGGGTTTTGTGGAGCCAAAGAGGGGACTTGTGGTTCATTCCCTCCACATAATATTAAGGTATTAATAAATTAATGGTTAAAACGATAATACCCACCGACCAATCCCATTTTGAACACATGATTTGGTTCAATCTTTACTCATTTGATAACGAAAGCTGTTGGATTGACGCGACAACCAACAACTTGATTTGTATTACCTTTTACTCCTTCACAACATTCAAGTGGATTTCATTATTACCATTAATTTAATAAATTTAATTTAGTAATTAAGAATATAAAATAAGTTATCGGGTCGATTGGTTTCTGACCTTCTTCGTGTGCTAAATGAATTGATGTGACTCAATTCACTCGAGATTTTGTTTATTTATTTAATTAAAAGAATATTCGAAGAAAAAAAATATATAAAAGGTTAGTGTCACAAGTGGGGCAAAAAAAAAATGTGCAAGTTGGCTTCTTTAAAGCATATTTTGAGGATAATTTGGAATATTTATATAATTGGATTGAAACAAAATAGTGTCACATAATTCTCAAGAAAAAGGGCCAGAAAACTGAAAAAGACCAATGTAGTCACGTGATGCACCCCATCCCATTGCCTCATTCACATACACTTTAATTTATTTTTATTGTTTTTTTAATATTTTTTCAAGCTAACTTTTAATATGATAAATGAGTAATATTTGCTACTCTAATTAGATTTATAGTGTTGGTGAAGCTCGAATCCCATTAATTTGGAATTAATAAACTTTTGAGTAAATTTTGAGGTCGGACTCTTTATGAAAATCTATCGAGTGCATAGAGCGTGTTTATACATATATGGAAATTTGTTAGGTGCAAGATGTGATGGAAAAGTTAGAGAAGAGGAGAGTGAAAAGGAAATGGGAGAAAAAAGCGGGAACTATAAATATGTCATTTATGGGCACGGTTGAGAGAGCTGAACTCAAAATTCGTCTTTTTGTGTAACGTTCAATGTTCTTAATCATCTTCTTTTCATTTCTAGAAAACGCCGACTCTTAGGTGCTTTTTTTCTCGTTCTTTTATCTTTTTTCCATGTGAGCCTTGTTTTGACGTTTCTAAAACCGAATGGATTGAGTTTCAAATAACTAAAAGTGCAACACTTAAGAAAATGAGTACAGGAATGAATGGAAGGTGGTCATGCACTAGGTTAAGAAAAACTTAAAAAATGGAAAGTTACTGCAAGTTTTACATGAACTCGACCGTCAAACATAATCTACCTGCCGGTAGCAATTCTAGATTGAGCTACGTTTAGATTATATAAGTTATATATAATGGGCATTGTTGGACTCTTTGGCACAATAAAGGCTTAATGGGCATAAGGTAGTTTCAAAATAGGTGAGTCAACTCTAGTATGGCCTTTTCTAATGGGCTTAATTTTTTTTTTTTTTTCATACTACGAATATTTTAAACTTTCAAACATCAAGTTAATATTTAAATAATATTAGACAGTTTATTAAAGTATAAAAATTAGGTGAAGTTAAATAATTTATTTTAGTTAAAAAAATATTTTTTTGGAGATAAATACGAAACTTTATGCAAATGAAAGTAATTTTATATAATTTAATAATAATAGTAATAAAAAAAAAAAAGCGTTTCTAGAATCTCTCTAAAATTGCAGTAGCAGGTATAAATAATGTAGATTAAAAATTAAATTAAGAAGAAAACAAAACAATATTTAAGTTAATTGTGGAGCCACGTCACGCCAACGTCGTACAGAAAGAGAAACATAGCGGGAACTTTTGAAAGTGGTTCGTCCCTCCATTGATTCGGCTCCCGCCCTTTCAACGGTCATTCTATTGCCACGGTTCTTAGTTCTCCCAGCGACACGTGTTCATCCCAAAGTTGATTCCATGGAGCCCACCTCTGACATGACACCCAAACAGCCAAACTTATCTAATTATGATTGGAGGCTTTTTAATCATGTTAATCTCAATGTCTTATATTTGGATTAAATAATAAATCATTAATTATATGAAACGGGAAACCTTAAAGCTTGTGGCTTAAATTCGGTCACGTGTCAATCACGTTCCACTCGTGACAGCTTGCAGGCTCATGAGCCACAGCCGGCTAATCTAATTATTCAAATCAGCCGCCAACCTGTAATTAACAGAAACAAACCCCATCTTTAAAATTTAATTCAATGTAAAATTACCTCAAATTTTAAATTGTGGAAAATTGTAAAAGAATATAGAACTCATATCCATAATTAATAATTTGTTAAACAAAATAGGTTTGAAATTGTAGTTATTTATTGGGTGTTTTAGTAAGGGAGGGGCAAATGAAAATTACGGAAGTTTGATGGGGGAGAAGTTTGATTTTGATTGAAATGAAGGAGTGGCGTGCAAATATTAAATTTGAATGACTAATTGAGGTGATAAGATTGAAATTGAGGGACCAATATGGGTGAGAGGGGAAAAAAAAGGAAGAAGACAAAGTATTGCCCATAGAGTTTTTCCTCCAACGAACAAACTTTTTATTTATTTATTTATTTATTTTGGGTTTGTATTAAAAATATTAAATCATATGTTTTAATTAACACACACAAAAAAGTCGGCAATAAAATAAAATAAAATAAAAAATTACATTTTATTTTTAATAATTTGAAAAAACAAAATTCTCATCCATACATTTATAATACAAAATTGTTAAAAAATAAAAAATAAAAAATAAAATGAATGAAAAGAGGAAGTGGTCCACGGCAGAAAATGGAACAATATCTGGCAAAATCTAAGGCATAACCAAAGGAGAATGATGAGATTGATGGGCCGATTCTGATTTTTGGATCTGGACCACTCCCCCAATTGGGCCCCAGCTCACATGATCACATGATTTTATCGATTTTCTAAGTTGAGGATTACTTGGAACAAGAGTCTCTCATTGACTAATCGATAGAAAGATCGTGAACTTACTTATACTCAAAGTAGATATATTATACTATTGTAGAAGACGGTGATTCCTAACATGGTATCAAAACTATGACTTTAACTTAAATATGTTAATAGAATCTTCAAGGATCGAAAGTTTGTGAGCGTGATTTTTCAAAATCCTGCTATTGCCTTCGATTTAGATTCACAAAGTTAGATTAACTAATCGGAAAAAAAACAAAGCAAAGTAACGGCAAAAATAAATTAAGAAAATAACAAAAAAGAAAAAGAAAAGAAAATAAATGGCAACGACAGTGATTGGGCGTTCGCCAACAATAGGTCACAGTCGTTTGCCCGTGAATCGAGGCCCCGAGCCGAGCCGCTCCTTCCAAAATATCACCAAGCCGACTCCAAAATATATATTTTCTACCTCCAAATCTTATTCCATTAATTTGCAATACAACTTCGGAGCACCGTCATTGCCCCCAGCAAGTTTTTTGTTTTCTTTTTTCTCTGCTTCGTCTCTGCTTCCTGTGCTATCAATAATGTCGTAACAAATCCATGCCCAATAATTCCCATCCTCTAATTTCTTCGTTTCTTCCGTTGGATTTAAATATCTTTCGTTCTTTCTCGCAATTACGGCTACCGGTGGAGGATTTCTTATCGTTGTCGTCTTTTAGCCACTAAGCTTCGAGTAAATCTCAGCTGCCAAGTTCAAGTGCATTGGTGTTCGTCAATCCACATCGATACGCGTTTCAGAGATTGGTTCCGGAGTTTATGTTACTAAATTCGTCGAAATTAAGCATTTCCACCGAGTGTTGGAATCTGGGTTGCAGGTAATATTGCCCAGATCGTTAATTTATGTTTCTTGTGTTCGGTTTATTTGTATCTGTTTGAAGAAGTGAAAATTGAAGTTACATGCTCTTGCAGGATGTTTGTTAGTTGTAATCTAATATCACTGTTGGTTCGTTGTTATCCAGCATTGAAGGTGTAATTCACAGTGTCCTCGGGACTGAGTTGAGATCCAATTGAGTTTAGAGAAAACACTTTTTTGTTTGCTGATGCTATGTGCGAAGTTCCAATACATTATTAACGTTTTAGTTCTGTAACATGTGCCATCCTTGGTTTGAAGTTGACTTCGTTTATGGAAGTGATTGTTTCTCTCATTTGGACTTTTAGCGAATGGATGCTTAAACTAGTAGTGGTTTGGGTTATGATTGTTGAGGAATTTTTACAAGCTGGGAAATATGGTTCTCTCCTTAAATTAAAAAAATCAGCTGCAGGTGGATTTCTAGCAGGGAATATCAGAGCATTGTTATGAAACATTGTTTTTTTTTTTCTTTTAAGTGAATTAGAAAAATTGGCGGTGGGAGTTATGCACTGATTTTAAACTGTCTATAAAGAAATAGTTGGGATGCTGGTGTACTTCTCTTTGTTCTTTTGAGATCCCACATCGGTTGGAGAGGAGAACTAAACATTCTTTATAAGGGTGAGGAAACCTCTCCCTAGTAGTTACGTTTTAAAAACCTTGAGGAAAAGCCAAAAGATGACAATATCTGTTAGCAGTGGACTTGGGCCCATTACAAATGGTATAAGAGCCAGACACCGAGTGACATGCCGACGAGGAGGTTGAGCCCCGAAGGGGGGTGGACACGAGGTGGTGTATCAACAAGGACGCTAGGCCTCGAAGGGGGTGGATTGGGGGGTCCCACATCGATTGGAGGAAGGAACGAGTGCCAACGAGGACGTTGGACTCCAAAGGGGTGGATTGTAAGATCCCACATCGGTTGGGGAGGAGAATGAAGCATTATTTATAAATGTGTGAAAACCTCTATCTAGTAGACGTGTTTTAAAAACCTTGAGGGGAAGCCTAAAAGGGAAAGCCCAAAGAGGACAATACCTGCTAGCGGTGGGCTTGGACTGTTATAGTTCTACTAAAGGAAATGCTGAAGCACATTTACTCCGTTGTTCGTTTTCCTATTTACCATTGCTCTTTTTGCAAAGAATTTAGCCAATGAATTAGCAACGTTACTACTTGTGTTAACCTTTACTATATGTTGTATATTTTTTTTCTAATTCATCATACCTGTCCTAATTGTTGGACCTGGTGATTGAATGATTAGTATTCTGGTTTCAGGTGAAATAATCAAGCCTACAAGAGCTATACCTATGCATATAATCACGTTTATTTCTGCAGCCTTTGCTGTACTTGAAGAGTGCCTAATTTGTATAGAGAGATGTGATCATTCTGCTTTCAACTGATATGAAGACCGCACAGGTTTTCTTTCACAATTCTGCTTGCAACCAAAACTTCTCCACTTATTCCTAGAATGCTACAATGTTTTGATACAACTGTTGGACATCGATCTTTGTTGGTATTCTGGCTCTTAGATATTATATGTTACTGCATCTTACTTGTAGTATTTAGTTTCCTATTTGATTACTAGAAAATGATTATATGCCACTCCTATATATCTAACTTCCATGCTAAGAAATACCCATCTTGGCATGCATAGAGAGCTCAAGATACAAAGAAAGCTTTGGATGATACTGAGAAGGACCTACCAAACAACAACAAAACCGAGGCTCCTATAACAGACACAGGTTCAATATCTGGCTCAAGTAATGATGGAAAAAAAGTTTCTCACCAAGATATTGAATTTGTAAGCTCAAATTCTTTCTTGTTACGATGACCATTATTTTCCATATACTTTTTGAGGTCTCTCTGCCTCTGTTGTGATTTCTTATCTCTTATTTGTTGAATGAATTGGAATGTTGCTCTAGGTCCAGAATTTAATAGAGCGGTGTCTACAATTATATATGAATAGAGATGAGGTGGTTAAGACCCTATTGAATCGTGCAAGGATAGATCCTGGATTTACGTCATTAGGTAAGTATAGGAGCTCTGATTCAGTCCTATGTTTTAATATTTGTGTTCAATTGCATAACAATACCAGTAAACACTCTCTATTACTCCACATTCACTTAGATAGGTGATTGAGTCTATTGCTTATTTATAATTGTTTATTAACGTTTTGACTTCCGTCATTCAGTTTGGCAGAAGCTGGAAGAAGAGAATGCTGATTTTTTCAGAGCCTATTACATAAGATTAAAATTGAAAAAACAAATCCTTCTTTTCAATCATTTGCTTGATCATCAATACCGTCTCATGAACTATTCCATGCCTCCCAAAGTTCCTTTGGCTCCTATGCAGAATGGAATCCATCCATTATCTGGTAAGCTCTCATATTCTTACACAGATTATGTAAATATCTAGCTCAGTTGATGAAGTTCTTACCCCTTGTTTGCAGCATTATTGTTGTTGTAAGCTGCAGCTTGTAATTTGTAAACTATAGATGCTGGGGTTCTGCTAGCTAGGAAAATTGATATTGGAAAAATATTTTCTTCGTTTCAACAGATGGGAACAGAGGGTGAGAAGTTAAGGATGTCAGTTGATCTGGTTCTTCTAAATTAATGTCTTGCTCAGAACATTGAGAAAAATGGCATCCTGAACATTAATCAAATTATTTGAATGTCAAACCTTTTTACGCGTCTACTTATTCCTGTAGATAGTGCCAACTACCATGTGGTAGGATTAAAAACTTTGCACTGAGTTAATAACCTAGAGTTTTCACTAAAAGGTGGAAGATGTATGGCCTGATACAGGAGAGTATCATCTCAGTCTGCATACTTTGTGTAGATACAGTTCTAGTGTTTAGTTTTGCTAGGCTTCAAAAGTCCTTCCAAAATTAAATCAATATGCTTGTTCATGGTGGCCGGGCAAAGTTGAATATGGAGCAGTAGAAATTAAGATGCTGAATGTTTTTTTATCCTGTTTATTTGTTTGTGGCACATGCAAATAAGAAATGAAATTTTGAGCTTGGCTTTTTGTGTGTGACATGTAGCTCATTATTATTAATTGCGGACATTCTTTTGTGCTTTAAGAGAAAGATCTCTCCGAAAGTTTATGCCTAGTTGTATACCATTCATGGGCTCTGGATACCATGTGCTCTGGGATGCCAAGCCTAGTTGTAGCTCCTCTTAAATAACCTAACTTTATATATTGAAGTAAGAAAGATCCATGTTGCAAGTTACTAGCATTTCGTTGTTATTCATCACTACTTGTTTTCAGTGCAGTTAACAACTTACCAATGGGATATCCAGTACTTCAACAACCCCCAATGTCAATGCCAGGTCAACCCCATCTGGATACCATGGGCTCTGGGATGCCAAGCTGCCATGTTGTTAATGGCGTTCCTGCACCTAGTAACTTCCATCCTATTAGGATGAACTCTGGGAACGAGTAAGAAAACTGCCCAAGTTAAGTCATTGCTAATATACATTCCAACACATTAAATACCGCATCCTTTGATGAAACAAACCGATAGAAAATTTGTAGAAAGGTAAAAAAGATAGCATAAAGTGGAAATATTTTCAAACTTAGAAGAAAAATATAATACAGCGGAAGAATTTGCCATGTCCACTGAGCAAGCATCCTTGCCAATCTAGTAACTATTACCTCTAGGTGATTGATAATCGTGCACAAGTACTAGCATGGGATGTCATGGTTCATGCGGCTAGTCTTGTCATGATATCATCTTATCATCACTACATAGCCAAATCCACCTCAAGAAAAATCTGCCATGTTCATGTGACTGTAGGTTTTGCATGGGACAAATTTTTGCTGGAGTTTTGGATACCTACAAACTAAGCAAGAAAAACTGCATCCAATGATATGAAACTGTATTAATTTGCATGGGACCAATGATCCGTGTCTAAGACATAGCCTCTAGGATTCATGTGCTGACTATGAGAGAGGCTTTAAGAATATATATGGAGGATAGGAATACAGTATTTGCATTCGTTAGCTTCACAACTTCTGCACAATTCATTTTTCACTTGAACTGGTAGTTATTTTGTTGAATCTAATACTTGTCCTTATTGAAGTATGATGATGAACAGTGAGGCTGATGTGGTTCCTGTTATTCCACCGAACGGCACCATGCCCTCCTTGTCAGAGATGTCTATGAGTCCTACATCGGTGGCATCCAGTGGTCATTTCTCATTCACTGCTCCAGAAATATCCGGAATTGGAGTAGATACTTCCGCACTTGATACTGCATTTACATCAGAAATGGTAAATTCAGTTGGTCTGCAACTTTCACAAGATGGTGGAGCTGGAAATTCTAGGGATTCTCTCAGATCATTGGATCAGATTCAGTGGAATTTTTGCCTATCAGATCTTACAACAGATTTATCAAATTTGGGAGGTAACTTAAGAAGCATTTTTGAATGTTGCGTTTATCGATCACTTTGGACTTTATACTTGAGACAAGAAGAAACATCTAAATTCTGGAAAATGCATGTAGGAGAAATAAGGCTTTGAAGACCACGTATTCTTAACCACTTAGCTATAGTTCAACAAATCCTTATTGCACAAAATATAGCAGGATTTAGATAGTGAGGAAAAACTTCCCTATATTGTGAACAAGGGCAACAGGTGGAGGGAAGCTTTTCTCTGAAGTCCATTAACTCAAAAAAGTTGGAAAATATAGGATGTTGGACTTGGTCGACAGGCATCCTAATCAGAGTCAAACAGTTATACTTTCTGGATGAATGAATGCATTTTATAGTCAGTGGTCACCGTAGAGTAAGACCACACATTCATCCCTGATATGAATGTATCAGTGGCATGGGGCATCCTTGATATGACCGATTGGGGAGTATTGTTTGGGAATAGTGGCCTTTTACTTCAGTATTATGTAAACCTAATTTTTTTTTCCTTTTCCAATAAATTACTTCTTCAGTCAATCTTATAAAGTTCTTTTGTTTCTTTCGTTCTTAATCTTCTGGATGGAATAGTCTTGTGTTGCTTCATACAATTTGATAGCTTTTAGGAAGAGCTTTGAATAAGATGCAAAATCCTATTTCTGGTAGATTTCATTCTTCTCTTGGAATAACTTGTAGCATATTGATGCAATCTCTTCAATTTGGTGCAGATTTAGGACCATTAGGTAACTACCCTGGTTCTCCGTTTTTGCCCTCAGACTCGGAAATTTTGCTTGATTCACCTGAGCAAGAAGATATAGGTATGGGAATTGCAGACTCTTTTCAGCTCAAAATTGTTTGATGTAACCAAAACCACCCTTTTTGAAATCAAACATCTGCCGAGTATATACGTAGATATATATATTGTTCTGTAAGATTTCATCATGATAAGCGATTTGGAAAATGTTAATTAGATTTGTATAGTAAGTGCAATTACATTTGTATGAAGATGTTAATCTTTTCTTTCATCAAGTATGACTCTTGGAACTCAGAGGCATCTGGTCGTCCATGCAAAGTTGGATGACATAGATATAACATGGCACTTGCATACCTAAGAAATCCCAGTAATCGAGTCTAAACCTTTATGTACATAACTTGTCATTTTTCCAATCACTAACGTCTCAATTTTATATCAGTGGAGGAGTTCTTTGTTGATTCTGTCCCTGGGCTGCCAGACGAAGAGAAATCCTAGACAGAGGCGACAGAGGTTGTTTTTTTTTTTTTTTTTTTGCCACTTGAATAAGTAGGATAGGACAAGATTTGACCAGAAATCAAGAGTTCATTGTCTATTAATAAACAGGCATTCAGTAATTTTTTCATCGACAAATTTTAATTATTTAAATATTGTAGTCACATAGCTTGCTTGGTAGGAATGTAGATAGGGAAGTAGTCATGTAGGGGAAGCCGTAGTTCTCTTGTGCTGCTCATTTCAGAGATATCCAGTTGAAGCTGGCTGTTCAGTTTTTAATCCCTTGTCTGGTCTGGATTTATGGGTCAATTACGACCATCCTATAACTATGGTACTTTTTGGATGTTTGATTGTTCCAGCTCTCGTTAAATGGCTTTGATTGATGGAAGCACCCATCAAGCTATCTGCTGTCTTCCTTTCTGATACATTTTAGCTAACAGATGAAGTTACATCTGATAACGTGGTTCATAAAGATGATAATACTAAAGATAGTGAAATGTATCAGCTAACCTAAAAACATACTTAGTATCATAATAAGAACAACTTTAAAGGCTTCTTAGCAAGCAAGGAAACCTTATAAATTCATTAGAGAAGAAGATATAAACTCATTAGGCCACTGCTCACAAATGTTATGGTTTCTTGGAGAAGTGAGTGAGGACAAGAACAGATAATTGAGAAGAGTGGGCCACTTCCTTGTCTTCTGCACTAATAATTGTCTGATAGGGTGGAGTTTATTTATACACTAAAAAGTACCCATCTTTTGAAATGGCTTTTCCTTGCACCAAAGTAGAAAAACAGTGCCTGAGATGAAAACTTTTTGGGCTTTTAGTGTCCTCTGCTCTCATTTTGAACCAACATTCACCTTACCAAATAATGCTTGTTACGACCCTTTTTCATTATCAAATTGTTTATTATACTGTGCGTGTACTAAAGTGAGAACCTTATCATTCTCTATCTGCATTTCCTTTTAGTGGGGTCAAAATATTGCAATTTATAAGTTTTTTTTTTCCCTTTTTTTCTGTTCATCTGTTCTCACATGAATTTGTGAATAGTGATTTTAATGTGTAGTAAGGGCACTAATTTCGATTTTGTCCATCACAATTTTAAAACTGAAAATCTAAAAAATTTAGAATAGCCTTTAAAAAGGTATTTTGGCTTTCAAACTTTTAGGAAAATGACAATTTAGTGAAGCTATGTAGTCCAAAATGTTCTTTTAACCCTTTTATAAGCTATAAATAATGCAATTATTTACAGCCCGCTTAAGAAAAGAACCCCCGAGGAAGAAAATAATTCACTATTATGCATAGATTAAGGTACATGCCTTTGGTGAAAAGGTGCAATAGTCCAAGTCCACTGCTAGCAGATATTGTCCGCTTTAGCCCGTTACGTCTCGTTGTCAACCTCACGGTTTTAAAATGGATCTACTAGGGAGGGGTTTCCACACCCTTACAAGGACTGCTTCATTCCCCTTTCCAACCGATGTGGGATCTCACAATCCACCTCTCTTGGGGCCCAGTGTTCTCGCTGGCACCCCGCCCAAAACCTGGCTCTGATACCATTTGTAACAGTCCAAGCCCACCGCTAACAAATATTGTCCACTTTAGTCCGTTACGTATCACCGTCAGCCTCACGGTTTTAGAACGCGTCTACTAGGGAAAGGTTTCCAAACCTTTACAAGGAATGTTTTGTTCCTATTCATTTAACTCACAAGGTAGGAGTTTGAATCTTCTAAATACTATTCATTTAACTCACAAAAAAAAGAGGGGGTTCAAAGTGTTGTGGTATATACGTGTAAAACAAACCCTGAATCATCTTCGTATGAATGCCTGCAACAAGGTAAGTGTTGTGCTCCAGTTGCAAGCTAATCCCTTTAATCCCAATAGACATATTCATAACAACACAACTCAAGCCCCAATAAAGCCAAAATCTTTGGTTGTTTTAAAAATTGGTTTGATGTGATAATTTAGAAGCTCGTCTTTTGTGGCAAAAATTATTTAAAAAAGACTGGTATGATTAAGGAGGAGCCCTTGCTTTTAATCCCACAAGTAAAGGGATTGTAAATATCTCTGGCTTCACCAATCATCTTGTAATCTCTGTCTTATTGTTGTCAGTTCCACTAGAATTCCACTCCTTTAATAAAGTAGTGAGGAAAAAACCATGGCAACTGCTTTAAAGTAAGAACTTTCCGCTTCACAGAAAAGGGGAAAGTCAAGGAGCAATGTATAAGCACATCAAACTCTGCAAAGTTTCTCTCGTGGAACATGACATTATTGACCGGGAATTCTTTTGTTGGTAGCCAAAATTGGGCTATTTGGGGCTTACTTAATCAATATTATAGTTTTTGTTATTTCACAGACAGCACCAGAAAAACCAGAGTAAGATTCTTACACACTTTCTTTTGCTAACGACATGCATTTTGGTCTACAATGCCTGTGGTGAGACACGGAAGAAGGATAGAAAAAGCACTTTGTTAGAAAGCTCTAATAAAAACGAAATATTTTCTTCTAGCTCATAATGGCTTTTACTCTACCAGGTTATTGAAGGAATTTTGAGTAATTCCTCTCTCAGGCTGACCCTCCTTTTCAGTCCTTCTGGTTACCATTCAACAACCAACCCAGAGAAAGGTTTTTTCTACATAAGCTTAATTGCCACTTCTTGTCTTTCATGCAAGTGACCTTATATTACCTGAAAAGGAAGGTCAAGTTTTACTAGTAGCTCCATGGAACTGTAGGTTGTGTTGTAAATCTTGTTTTTCACTGACAAACATTTTGCTTTGAAGCTAAGCAGTACGTATAGTGATATCAGAGCCACAGTTTAGGCCACGTTTAGGATACTGCTGTTCAAGTTTATGGGTTCTCAGATACCAAAATCTGCAAGGTTTGAACATTCTGAACTCTTTCTCTCTCTCTTGCTGTCAAATTTTCTGAAAACCAACTTATGATCTCTCTGTGAATGCACATATGGCGTCTATTCCACATAGTTTGTTCTTGTTGTCCAAATAACTTGCTTGAACCTGATCCTATCAAAACTGACATGTACTTCTACTCTTGGTCGATGATAATATATAGGTTTGGGCATCCAACTTCTGATTTTCATGACAAATATGGAAGTCATCAAAACAGAAGCAGACTGTCTCCAGGGTCAATATTGGAGAGCATAGAGAGAAAATTTTCAAGTGCTTATAAGAGCGTTAGAAGGATAATAACACACTTAAGTTTCAAGCATCCAGGTGATCAGTCAGTAAAGAAACCGAAGTTCTGGAAGAAAATTCTTGATCCACAGAAGCCATTTCTTCAGCAATGGAACAAGATATTTGTGCTCTCTTCTGTCATAGCAGTAGCTGTGGATCCTCTCTTCTTTTACATCCCAGTGATCGACGGTGAACGTCAATGCCTAACCATAGACCGACAACTTATGATCATTGCTTGTGTTCTTCGTTCAGTCATGGACTTATTTTATGTACTTCACATGATCTTTGAATTTCGAACGGGTTTTCTTCCCCCTTCTTTACCAGTATTTGGAAGTGGAGAATTAATCGAAGATCCAGCAGCTATAGCAAAGAGATATCTCTTATCGAACTTCTTGATTGATATCTTATCCGTTCTCCCACTGCCTCAGGTATAAATTTAGTATAGTTTCAGTTAAATTAACATTCAACTCAAAAGTTTAAGTTGATGGGTTATGGTAAATTTAATCCTTTATCAACACTTAACACTCTCCCTCACTAGGATGTTCTGCTAGATACCATGTCAAGTCACCCATTTATAGTTTATGGTTATTTCTTTTTTCTTAAACCATTTCTTAGATACTTGAAGCGTCTAGTCTTTGCGTCAAGAGCATAACATTTGGCTGTTCTCCTTATTTGGAATGTTACATATTTTGTATGATGAGTTCTTTAAAGCTTAGTCCATAATCTTCTCTTTCTTGACATTGTACTAAAGATTATGTGCTTGTTTGGTTTCGCTATCCTGTATGAGAATGGATTATTTTCTGAGTCATTGGATAGATTCTTGTGAATCCTTTATTTTGAGCAGTATTGATTGCCTTACTGAACTGAACTTACTACTTAAGATAACTCGGTTTTTATGTGATTCAGCTTTTGGTATTAGCAATCATTCCTGCAGCGAAAGGCCCAATTCCATTAAAGACAAAGGATGTTGTGAAGATTGCAGTTCTTTTGCAATATGTTCCAAGACTTCTCCGAATCTATCCACTATACAGAGAAGTAACCAGAACAGTTGGCATACTGACAGAAACAGCCTGGAGTGGAGCTGCCTTCAATCTCCTTATTTATATGCAAGTTAGTCATGTATGTGTTCATTTGACTTTATAGTAAATACAAAACCAGTTCTTATGTTTCGGTTTAAAATGAATTCTTTTATGAGCAGTGAATGTAATGAATTAGGTTGTTGGTGCCATTTGGTATTTGTTATCAGTAGAACGACAAGCCAAATGCTGGGTCGAGGCCTGCAGGAAAGATAAGTGTAAGGACAATTTTCTGTACTGTGGAAATCAAAGAAGACAAATACAGCCGTACATAGATCAGTATTGCTCCCCTAAGGAGCCTGAAGATGGAAAAACCTTCAACTTTGGGATGTATGTTGAAGCCCTCAAGTTTCAATTGACCAGTACGACGTCTTTTCGCCGCAAATTCTTCTATTCCTTCTGGTGGGCTTTGAGAAATGTCAGGTCAGTAAAAGTTTCCCATGTTTCTTCGTTACTAGGAAATTGTGAGATTCCACGTCGATTGGAGAGGGGAACGAAACATTCTTTATAAGGGTGTGGAAACCTCTCTCTAGCAGACACGTTTTAAAAACCTTGAGAGGAAGCCCAAAAGGGAAAGCCCAAAGAGGACAATATCTACTAAGGTGTGCCAGTGATGACGTTAAGTCCCGAAGGGAGGTGGACACCAGACGGTGTGCCAGCAAAGACGTTGGCCTTGAAGGAGGGTAGATTGTGAGATCCCACATCGATTGAAGAGGAGAATGAAACATTCTTTATAAGGGTGTGGAAACCTCTCCCTAGTAGACGCGTTTTAAAAACTTTTTTGTCTCCTGGTCTGATATTATCCCTCTAAAGGAACATTTTTTGTGTTTCTACAGCTCTAGTGGACAAAACCTTCAAGTAAGCAATTACATGGGGGAGGTTTTTTTTGCTGTCTTCATTGCCATTCTTGGTTTGGTTTTATTTGCGTTACTCATTAGCAATATTCAGGTAATACATGATGATGCTCAATTCATTGACTTTGCAATTGCCTTAAGTTCAAGAGGAAAATAATTATGCTTCAAACACGAACCGTATCTCTGATTTCATTGCTCTTCCATATTCTATATTTCATTCTCTTTTTTTTCATCTGTGATTGTTCCCCTTGACAGAAATATCTGCAGTCAGCAACTGTTAAAGTAGAGCAGATGAGAATTAACCGAAGAGACGCCGAGCATTGGATGGCACATCGTATGCTCCCAGAGGACTTGAGGCAGCGTATTCGACGATATGATCAGTACAAATGGCAGCTAAACAGGGGAGTTAAGGAAGAGGAACTCATCGGTAACCTTCCTAAAGACCTCAGGAGAGACATCAAACGCCATCTTTGCTATGCCCTTCTAAAGAAAGTGGGTTGTTTTCCTTCTACTTTGGCATATTCCTCTGAAATTTTCATCATTTGTTAACTTGGAGTGCTTTAGGTGCCACTTTTTAGCGGCATGGACAAGCAACTGTTGGACGCGATGTGTGAATATCTCAAGCCTGTGTTATTCACAGAGAAGAGCTTCATTCTGCAAGAGGGTGACCCAATTGATATGATGCTATTTATCATGAAAGGAAAGTTGGCTACCATTATTACTTATGGTTGGAAAAACGACACTTTCTCGGCCGTTCTTAACGCAGGTGACTTTTGTGGTGAAGAACTAGTTCAATGGGCAAGGGATCCCACCTCCACTTCCCTTCCCATTTCAAGCAGAACAGTTAAGTCTCTTACTGAGGTTGAAGCCTTTGCTCTAAAGGCTAATGAGTTGAAATCTGTAACTAGTCAGTTCCACTTCCAGCGTCTCAATAGCAAGCAATTCCAACTCTCAGTGAGGCATGTTCTTCTTACTCAACGTACACAAATTGTTCTACCATTGATCCCATGAACAAGTTTTTTCATGATCCTTAATCCTTGTTCTCTAGGTTCTACTCCCATCAATGGAATGTTTGGGCAGCCTACAAAATACAAGAAGCTTGGCAGGAGTACCGTGAAAGAAAGCGGAGGGGGGTGAGAGGAGATGGCAGGTTTCAAGCTGCATTGGCCAAAACGGCTGGCGCCTCGGTGGGCTTTGGCGCCACTCTGTATGCTTCCATATTCATATCCCATCTACTGCAAGTGGTGCAGCGTGATCAACATCGGGAAACTGTTCAACTCACCCGAGTGATGACACTACCGCCGCCTCCAAAGCCAGACGATGAGCCAGACAGGCCAAACGTCACAATCTTGAATCTGTAAGATGTGTTGTTTCAAGCTCGTTAACCTTCTATGTGAGTTTTAGGTGCTTGGTTTCTTTGTGTGATATGTAAATGACGTATGATAATCAGCAGAATGGTGTTCCTCTCGATTGATTTCATCTTTCATTTTCTCTTCTAGCCTATTGCCTAGTTTCTTCTTGCTAATGATCTTGCTTTAATGTTGGTACCCCACAAAATAGGAACACAATGAAGCAACAAACATCAAATTCCATCTCAAGTAAAGTTTGTAAATCTTCTGTTTGATCCTTTTAGATGATTCATCAGATTGATTTAACGGAACTTTTTGACATTTATCGTTCTCCTCGTCTCAAACTTCGCGATCAAAATAAGTGAAATGGGAAAAGAGGACCGACCAAGGCATTCTCGAGAATGAAAAGTACATTCAAAACGGAAAGTGTGGATTGATGAGTATAATTTAGGTAGAAGTCTTATTGATAACAGATACAAAGAGTACTATGAGTATGTAAATTTAGGATTATTGGGACTTATTATGAAACATGAAGAACGTCAAAGATATCATATGGGATTTGCTGGGTATATGTTGATTGGGCTCAATGATTATGGTTATCCTCAAGCTCGGATGAAAAAGCACTTCCAAATTGATAGCCCTCAGCCCTGCATGCCGACACACACAAACAGCAAAAATCTTAGCTCACAAACACCCAATGTTTTGTTAAGAAAATTCAATACAAAATCAAATGATGAATTGTGATTACTTCGAGCAGTCGGTAGAACTGTCGATGGGGGGAATTTGGGCGGGAATTCCACAATCTTCAGGAATCAAAGGGATGCGACTTGGATCATAAGGTCCGATCATCGACAAACTCGTCTTGATGCACTCGCACAAATCTACCCTATCTTTCTTCGTTTTAGCATCATCGACCAACTTTCCAACGCCGGTGCAGCACGATGGTGATGGATTCTCGCCGCCAAACCCGCTGTCGCTGCCTTTGATGAAGCCCAAGCATGGTGATAGCTCCTGCACCACCGGTATGCAAGCTTCCACGTCGGCACTCTGAGACAGAGTGACCATCTGGGGGCATATGAAGATTGCGACAAATGCCAGGGCCCCGATGGTCGAGCGGAGATGGAAGATTCCTGACATGTTCCACTTGGGAAATTATACCAACAGTATTGGTGGGTGTTTATGTTTTGAGGTGAGGATTACGATTTGAGTGCCTTTAATATCCATTTTCTTGAGCCACTTCCTGAAAATCTGCTCCCATGCAGCTTCTGTGATCTTTATGGTTATTGCCACACAAAGTGGGGTTTTGTATTTCTAATTGGTTGAGTGAAGTAAGTGAAGTGACCTTGTTAGTTGTCACTTTACTTGAACTGTCGTGTTCTTTGCAGGTGCAGGAGAAGAATTGGAATCAAAATTGAAAGAAATGTAACTAAAACACTTGAAAGCTGAGAGATCGAATGAGCATATCCATCACAAATTAGTGACTAAATTTATTATTTCAATGCACACAAAAAGTAGCTTTCGACTGTTGCTACAACAAACATCAAAAGAGCTAGGACAAGAAGGCAGATAAAGGCAGCAAAATATTTTATGATTGGTATTCTCAACTTCTGAATTTTTTTACAGAACAAAAATGCAAATTTACAGATTGGATAGCTGACTGCAGAATGTTTTTTTTTCTTTCTTTTTTTCTTTTAAACAAGAAGGTTATATTAATACCAGGGGAATGCACAGTGATACCGATGCGGATTTGCAGCAAGTGTTTGTCCTGGGAGCCAAGGAGGGCTACAGCATAAGATCTCCTACTCCCTTTGGCGGCCCAATGCTGCAACGAGCTGTGTTGTGCATTTCAATTGCATCTTTAATTTTCTGAAACTGCGGGAAGGAGAAAGGTTAGATAGAGTTCAAATTCCGAAAATATTTACGTATATTGATCATTTCATGGAAGTTCTAAGAAAAATATCACTACTTGCCATAAGATCAACAACTTGATATAGTTTTCAAATCAATCCTTCTATCACATTCACATCTGTGACTCGAAAAGTTTTTTGTATTTGAACATTCTGCTCATTATAAGCTAACCCAAGAAAATAGAGTGAATTGACACATTGGAGGTGGGGAGGGAGAGGGGATGCTAACCTTTGCGAGCGAGCATGAGAAGGACTCCAACTGTCCATCAGCTCCACGATAAAAGTGGAAATAAGGAAGGACCTTGACATTCAAACTTTTGCACATTGGCTTGTTTTCATCAAAATTAACTTTTAGGAATAAAATCTCAGGGTGTTCATCAGCTGTTCTGCAGAGCTGACAGTTCCATTTCAACGCATATACAAATCGTCAGACCATAAAACAGGAAAGTACGAAGTATGATAAGTTGAGAAACAACAAATATTAAATCCAATGAATAACAGTCATTTAATGTAAGAAACAACCGTGCAAATAACAAGTGTTATGGAGCTTTCTCGTTATAACCTCAGCCACAGATAATGCCTGAACTGCTGCTGCAGCAGAAAACCAATAAAGAATAAAAAGAAAACACGCTTCCTTGATCAAACTACTCAATTTTCCCAAATACTATATGCCTCTACCTTGGGATATATTCGAAACACACACCTTTCTCTTCCACATCGAAGGACCAACTAGCATACAAGAATCCACGTGGCAAACCTGTAATTGTAACAGCCCAAGCCCACCACTACCACATATGGTCCTCTTTGGACTTTTCCTTCCAAACTTACCCTCAAGGTTTTAAAATGCATCCGATAGGGAGAGGTTTCCACACCTTTATAAGGAATGCTTTGTTCCCCTCTCCAACCGATGTGGGATCTCTCAATCCACCCTCCTTGGGGGTCCAATATCTCGTTGGCATACCGCTCAGTGTCTAACTCAAATATCATTTGTAATAGCCCAAGCCACCGCTAGCAGATATTGCCCTATTTGGGCTTTCCCTCAAGGTTTTAAAACGAGTCCGATAGGGAGAGGTTTCCGCACCTTATATTATAAGGAATGTTTCGTTCCCCTTTCGGGCTTGGGCTTCATATGAGCAGTTTTCTAGAAATTCTGCAATTCTTCAACTAAATGTGGTAAACATGTAATCCAATGAATTGAAGAACTGGCCATCCCTTCAGGCTCAAACAAGTGGATCACGGGATCATATATCTAGAGTATCTTCAGACCAGGTTCTTCGGATATCAAATATTCAGAAGAGTTCTTGATTAGAAAAGTTATAAAGGATTGAGAAATCGTTTGTAGTTTCAACCAAATTGACATAGATAGCTAGAAAACCTTGAGGCCTTTGAAAGTACAGCAAAGGGTATTTTAAAGCTTTTCATCTCGATAGCCAACAAATCCGGCAGTGATTGTCTCTTATAACACAAATTCATTTAATGACTACTAGTTCAATAAGCTGGTCCTACATCGAGTTTCAGAAAATGCTGAAAGCATGTCCTGATTATCTAACGATAAATGCAAATAGCAGGCCAACTTCACAATCTAAAGAAATATAAAGCACTGATGAAGAAAGTTACCCGGGGAAATAATGCCCTGCAAGAAGCACACCAGGTCCCATAAAATTCTACAATAACTAATCTATCACCAGCTTCGCTTAGTGCAGTCAAAAATTCCTGTGTCGAATGTATATCAATCATGTTTGGTGCATTCTTTTCCCACCATTTTGGCTGGTCTTTTTCAGCCACAGCAGCCTGTACCTGTGGCATCATGGAACAATTAACAGGAGCCACTGAGAAAATGATTAACTTATTCATTTTGTTTGACTAAAAAGTTTTCTTAAACCCTTAAATGTGTCTAAAAGAATAAGATGGACAAATAGTACATCCTCCTGCCCTCAGGAAGGCATGGCGAAAGTACAAGAAGTTGTTGTTCCGTAGACATTCCATGAAAAACAAAGGAAGCAATCACAAAATTCTTCAGCCAAAGGACCTCCATCTAGAGATCAAAAGAGATTTACATATTTGTACACTACTAGTAGATATTGTCCGCTTTGACCCAATATGTATCGACGTCAGCCTCACGGTTTTAAAACGCGTCTATTAGGGAGAGGTTTCCACACTCTTCTAAGGAATGCTTCGTACCCCTCTCCAACCGATGTGGGATCTCATAGTAACCAAGAAAAGATTTACATGTAAAGATGCTAGAATTCTCCAACTTCCAGAATTTTGAATCAAGATGATGAGATATATGAAAACCTTCCAAGTTATCTCTCTCGTTGAATGAACTTTGAAAGGTAAGGTCCTCCACAAGCTATCTCTGTTCAGACCATTTAGAAACATCTGAAATGAGAATCAGGTGGGCATAAAGTTCAGGAAAAGCATTATGAAGATCAAAGTTATCCTATCCAACCAAGCATCCTTCCAAAATCCAATTTAACTACGGTTCTCAACCATGAAGTAAACTTCAAATCTCAGATAAATCTCATAGCTGCCAGTGAAAATCCAAGGTAAACAACTACCGTTCAGAGACATATTGTCCACGAACCATCCCAACGGACTTGCACCATATTTACTAGTGATCATTTTGTGCCTCAAGGGTAATAGACTTTAACTAGAATCAGGCTATAATGGAACATATAACAACTTGGTATACCGGACTACAAGTGTCAACTGAGAATCGAATGCACATGGGAAAGAATTGTTGGTCAAGCAATGTAGTCAAGCAAACACGAAATACGAAGGCAATTTGAACTGTTCGATTAGACCATACAAGCAGCTGGTTCCATTGCCACGGCGATACTGTCGGCCGTAAAACTTACTTCTCGGTGAATTCATTACAAGAATCCACCTTTATCTATGGGCCTCCACATTAGGGTTCTATGGAATCTGCTCAGATTGCAATTCAGCACTTGAAACTTCAAATTGAAAATAAACTTCAAACAACCCCAACAAACAGATTTTTCCTGACATCTTCGGGCCGGCGCCAAAGCGCAAATAGTTAGGGGGTAGGTATCCTAGTATAACTAAATTCATAAATAAAAAAAACACTGTTAATTGCCAAGAACTAACAATCATACAATAGACATCCGACCAAAAATGTCAAGAACTAACAATCACACTATAGAAATCCGAGGAAAAGACAAGTTATGTACCTTGAAAGATACCAACCTCTTTCTGGGTCTGAAAGAAAGAGGCATTACACA